GGAAGGAAGAAGTGAAAAGCAGGGGGAGAAAAGGATATGTTTTTTTGCATTGTTTAGTCTTGTTATAGGAGTGATTACTATGATTCAGAATGTAAAATTAATGCAACGTGTATTGAATAGAAAAGATTTTATTCTAGAGTACCTAAAAATGTGTTTTACGCAGTTTTCATTTGGCAGTGCAACGATGCCAGAGAGTTTTTTTCAAAAGATTTCAGCTATGTGAAACACGAAGATTGGCAAATAGTGCAGCTACTAAGCAAGATTCTTGTAAATTTTTTATTTTTCACTGACTTTCTTTTTATTAGTAACTTCCACTTTTTTTTTCTATCAAGTTTATTGTGCCGAGAAAAAAGAAACACGCTGAACAGAAGGCGAGGATACAGAAATGAAAGGAAAAGAAAAAAACTGAATGTTTTTAAAATTGGTAAATTCATGAATGATGTGAAACAGAAGCGTTGAGGGAACTTGTTCTTTGTTATATTAGATTAAACACTTGTACAGACATCATCAGCACTTCCGTGCATACTTTTCAGAGCTGAATTTATGTTTTCAAAAAAAGTGGAGGTCAGTGAAGAATGAATAAAGATTAAAACGAGATGTTGGCAAAAAGTGTTTTAATTGTTGGTACTTTTAGTCGTAACTTTCCTGTTGCTTCTGCTGCTAAACCTTTGCTTATTTTAAACAATTATTTGCTTCTTGTATTTTTTTTTCGTTGCTCTTTGTTGGTTACAATTTGAGCGTTTTTTTTTTTTTTTTCTTGAACGATTGATATGGATTTTTTTGTTTCTTAGCGTTTTCTTTACATTGTTATTTGATTTACTTCACTGTTACTCCAGTCCATCATCGTTTACAATTGGCATCAGTTTTTTTTCCTACATTTGGTTGTTTGAGGAAAAAAGTCAAAAAGAGAAAGAAAAAAATAAACATTTGACACTGTTATTAATTATGGTCACCGAGATTGATCTGCTGAGGGAAGGATGAGCAGAGGTGGTGATATTGGATATGCTGAGCATGTGACTCTCTTTGTTCATTGGTAAAAATAGTGGGAAAAGGGTAAAGTAGATAAAGGTACTTATGATGGCTCCAAAATTTTTTTATCTTGTTCCTACTTCGTGAATATATAGGTTTTGTTCACTAAAACTATGGCTAGGAAA